GACTTCGTTTGTTGGGGAATTTGATGACCCTTATTTGCACCCCATCCTGGCAATACTCTGGTGAGTCACTCACTCAGTGACTGTGAAGAATTTAAGTTCATGGGCTCTGCTCCCAGGAGCTTCCTGGGAGAGACCAGAAGGCACCTTCATGTCATCTGGTGAGACGGTATTGGCCGGTAAGGGCTCAGTCACCAAGCACTTTAGGCGACCTCAGAAGAAACAATTCGGTCCTGAGCTGGGAGACTGCACGTGGGAAGAGAGGAAGGGCCGATTAGCTGGAGGCGGCCCACAGGACCCCTGGTTTCTCCCCCAGGGACTGACCAGAGGGAAGGGACAGATAGGCCCAGGGCAGAGTGATCAGGTTTCATGGGAAACATCATAGCCTTCTTTCTGGCCTTTAGAATTTGGGATGCTCTTGTCGCTTTGCCCTGAATTTCTGATCTGGGCAAAACTCAGTGGCCCACTAGACAGAGGTCACAGCTGAGGAGTCAGAGGGATTCTTCTGTAGAAACAGCTGTCTCCAGGAGAGTCCTGTCCGTTCCCTGCTTATTTGCCCCACTGGGTCAAAGTCGCCATGCTGGGAGGTGACGACCTCCACTCACCAGGATGAGTGAACAATATTAGGACTTGTGTCTATATTAGCTTTTGTCTTTTGAGGAAGAAACAAATTGCGGTCTGCTGCTTTGTCCCTTGGGTTGGCCTGTAGTGCCCATTGTCACTGGAGCCAGACAGGCAGGTGTCACGGCAATGCAGAGGCACCCTCAGTGTCACCTGGAGCTCCAGGTGGTGTGAGATGACTTGGCTCTGCCCACCTGCTCAGTTTCCAGACTTTTGCTGTGATTGCAGATCCCAAACTCCCATGAAGGGGATTTGTGGATTAAACTGTCTAGTTCTTAACCAAGCTAATCCTCATAGAAACAGGCTAGTCTTAGACGCCTGCTCAGAAATGGGAGGAAGATATTTCTAAGTAAGCCTATAGGGATGGATAATGAGGGGAGACAGAGCGGGCGCATTTGTACTCTGGGTGTGAGCAACCACCAGCCGGGTTACAAGGACTGAGCCTTAGAAGTAGTTTAAAATAAATAAGCAATTTAACCTGCCCCTTTGAGGGCAGGGTGACATTTAACAGTGGGTGAAAAAGTAATCTTTCTCTGCCAGAAAATTGTGCTACGACAAGAACATTTCAAAAACAGAAGTTTGGAAAGGTTTCTGTCATTAAGCGATTTCATTGCCAAAAAACAATGTGTGACAGCTATAAAAGCTCTCATATCTTGCACTTTAAAACTTGGAAACACAATTTTCTAAGCTGTTATAGGTTTCCAAGGGGCTCAGTGGGTTTTAATACCTATTTGTGAAACTTCTAAAAATAAATGAATTCCAATGAAATTGTTGACGTGAAGGAACATAGACATTTACTAACTGCAAAATCTCCTCCTCCTCCTGCTCTTCCTCCTCCTCCTCTTTCTCCTTCTGTATATTGGGTGGGTGGGATGGAAAAATGAACACTGTGAATTAGTAAATATTGTCCGCAATACCATGCGGTGGTATGCCATGATTTTCCAAAAGATGAAATACATTTAATCACATTATTCGTGCTAAGCTATCACTAATGAGTAAGTGAAAGGAACACAAGATTTTTGAAAAGACAAAAAATGTGGTTCTTGGTAAATAAAATATAGTTTTATTGATTCTTTTAATAAATACATACTGAGTGCCCCTTTATGCCCAGAACACTGAAATATGGGCAGAGCAAGATCCTGCCTTCATGAGGTTTCCGTACTAGCAATTAAGAGAGGAAAAAAGGTAAGACATCTTTAGATTTCTGTTTCTTTTATCTTATGTTTTTAAAGTTTCTATTTCAATGTATCTTTTATAATATGTTTTGTATTTATCATTGAGATAGAGGTAGATAATTCATAACAATGGTTTTAATTACACATAATTTAATACACACCATTTAATATGTTATATACATTAGCTACATATATTTCCTCATTCACATATGATATATGAACATATATTTATACATCATTTTGTGTATAGTATATATTAGAGATTATAATTATCATTATGGTGTAAAATGTTGTACTTAGTATTTCCTTGTTTACCTCTATTAATGTGTATGCATACATTGTAATTATATGCATATAGTCACCTGCTATATGCAGATATGTACATGTTAGATATATAGACTTACATGTAATATACACAGTAAACTACATTTGTGTGTATATACAATCTTCTGCATCTAATCTCCCCCATCCCTAGAGAATTACTTTACATTTTCTTCTCTTGCCTTAAATACTCAATGCTACCTCCCTAGCCCTCAGCTTCCTGCTTCAACAAAAAGGTGGAGATAATCCTAAAACTTTCTAAACCTCTCCCACTGTCACCTCTCCCCACCTACAGCACCTGTTCCAGGCCTGGCGAGTGCCGCCTTCTCTTCAGGACCGCTCGTGATTTGTTTCCCCTTCTGGGCTTCCCTCCCCTGGGCCCACGCAGGAGCCCCCTCCTGTCTACACAGACATTCCCCTACCCACCCAGTCCTCAAGCTGGATCACCCACCGCATGTGGATCTGAAGTTCCTTCCCTCTACAGACAAACAGCAAAGAAATTCCTTCCTTAGTCTCATTTTCTCTGTTATCTGTCGTCCCAAGTCGGTTTCTCCCTAGGACAGCTCTGAAACGCATTGTCTTCAACTTTTCTTCTCAAGTTTCTATCCTTACTATTTTTTCTACAGTTCCTCTTGTGAAGGTCAGCACTGACTTCTGAATTTGGAAATCTTAGCTCCAAGTCCTCCTCTAAGCAAACCTTGCAGCAGCACTGGACATGGAGGCCTCTTCTTCCCTCTCAGAAGCTCTTCCTAGCCTTGGCTTGCGGGACACCCCACCGCCTGGTGGTTCCTCTGAGCCCCTCACCAGGTGTTGCTGCTGACTGATACCTGAGCTGATGTGTGAGCGCCACGGTGCCTAAACGCAGCCCTCAGACACATCTAGAGCTCACTCTGAAGGGGATCTCCATGGCCTGCTTCCTTCAAGTGCCACGTAGAGTTGAACCTTGCAAATGTACAAGCACAGCTTTTCCTCTGAACTCCAGATCTCCAGCTAACTAACTCATCCTTATCAATATACCAGGTGCTTTTACATGTAGCAGGCGAATAAGATATGGCTTCTACCCTATAGGATGGAATCAAAGAAGGAACCCGTCACTGCAGCTAAGAACCATCCCTGAGGAAGGGCATGGAAGAGGTACCAAAGACACCCTCTCTTTGAAGCAATTCTCTCCACTTGTGGCAACAATGACAATGATACCAGCTAGAGTAGGCTGCCCATGCAGTAGCTTCCAAAGACAGATGACCAATAGATGGGGTGGAAGAGTCATGAATGGATCATCCAATTCATAGTGTGAAGAACTTATAACAAGCAAAACAGCTAAGTGGGCCCAGACCCAGACTCTGTCCTGAGAGTCACTTCCTAAAATTAGCTAGAGAGTAACATTCATTTATCACATCATCCAAAGACTATGATATAGATGAGAAGGGAATCTCCAAATGGAAGGCTGGGACTAAGAGAATTGGAATCTGTCATTCTGAGTCTTCATCTCTGGCAGACATTGGCTGGATCTTGCTGCTAACTCCTGCAACCCTGCTGAAAATGGGCTATTTATGTCACCTTGTTTTACCCGGACTCAGAGAGCTTATAAAGGCCAGCATTGGAGTCTAGGGTAGCTTTGTCTGGATTCTGAAACTACACAAGAAATGTAGCATCATCTGCTACAGAGGTGATGATTTTATTATAGGCAGGTAAGTTAGAAATTAATATACAGTCAGAGGGATGGGGCTGTCAAGGAACTCAGCAGAAAAAAAAATAGAAACATCAGAATTGTTGCTATAGGTACATCTGAAGATGACCCAGGTCTCAAGATAAAGATGCAACTGCCATGCCTGCATGCCTCCCCTGAGGGATAAGCAATAACTTGGAATTATACTATAATTGGTATCACTTGGTCTGGTGAAGTCCAGAGAGACATCAGTCAACCACACGGGTGACCAGAGCATTTGGACCCATCCCTTTCCCAAAACACCTTCATTCTTTCCATGTACCCCTGTTACATGACCTGCTTCTCTGCTGGATCAATATTAGCTAAGTGTCTATACTTGTAATTTTATTGGTTGATTACAGATTGACCCACATTGTACTCATCTCGTGATTTTGTATCTGCCTTGTGATTTTGCTGTGCAGAATATTCCTAGAGAAGTGGTTTTGGTGACAGCCCACTTTCAGGTCCCCTCCTGTCTGTTATGAGCTATCTCTCAATAAATTCTTCCTACTATTAAACTCCATTGTTCTTTAGAAGTCATTGTTTGATTTCAGGGGATATGAACTTAGGTACCTGACATCTAGCAGCTTGGGAGTCATATTTTCCTGTATATCAATTTTAGGTCATAATAATAAGGGAGAGAGAATTGAACAGTGAGAGCTCATTGAGAATGTGTGAGCTGCTAATTTGCAGTGGATGCTTTTTAGTCTGTCCATCTCCTATCTCTGAAGGTGACCCGAAAGGTAGCTTGGCTCCCGAACAGAATGACGACCCAGGGTCTGAGACCTTCCCAAGACTGCTCCATTCCTGCTTTTGACTTTCAGAAGGAGCCCTGAATCCTTAATTAGATTTATTCTTGTTTAAACTAGCTTCAGAATTTTTAAATATCACAGGCAGAAGAAGCCTAACTCACATAAAAACCCAATGAGTGTCAACACACTTAAAAGAGAATTTAGAGAACTCTAAAAGTCAGTCAACCTCCTTTCTAAACTTGGAAAGACAAAGTAACCAAACTCCAATTTTTTTCAAAACCAAATATATAACCCAGTTTCTGAATTAAAAAGCATCTGGAAACATCAAAAATAACAGGGGTTCTTAAAGAGTGGAGAAGTTCCTTTTTTAAAAAAGGAAAACAAATCAACACAAGAACAACAAAATACCACTAAATTTTTATTCACTCATAAGCAGTAACAAAATAGAAATTTTCAATTGATTCAGTTAAAGGTTTTATTTGTTGGAGCAGCCTTTGGAACAGTTCATTCCGTGTAAAAGCAGACATTCACGAAGTCGGCAATTTACCTTAAATACAATTGTAAAGTGCCTATACTTTTTCAGAATGTTCAGAGTGCCTTTGGTTTATTTAATAAGCATTCAGAAAAAACCTCCTGAACACGGCTCTCTTCTATTTCCGGAACAAAATGGAAAGCGACTGGAAGTACAGTAGAGTGAAACTTCCCCACCTGTCAAATGAATAGGTTGGCTTATTCCTCATCACCACGTTTGCATAACTGGGCTGTGATAGATGTAAGAGACAGGTGCTAAGAACAAAAATAGCCAAATAAGGTTTTCTGAGTGCCTCCTCCCTTTTATACTCAGTAACTGCAATGGCTGACACGAAGGACGTGGATACAGAGGAAATGAATAGGAGGTGGTAGGATATATTAATTAAAATTTGGGTCCCTCCCCCATTTGAAAGCAAAATGAAAGCTCTTTACCTCTTTTGGTTCCTTTCCCTTCAGAGTGTCTAAGGATCTGGCTCAAATCAGCTCTTTTGAGCCAATGAGAAGGAAGAGCTGTACAGTTAGAGAGATGCCGGGAAGCAGGGATAGACTTCAGGTCTCATTGCTGTACCTGGTAAAAAGGGCACAGTGAGCAATTCCCAAAGGTGGCTGGAGGACTCTACACGTGTTTTTTAAACGATGTCACCCTTAGAAATATCTGCCACTGCATTCAAGGAGCATGTTTTGCTTAGGCTCTGCCTGCGCTGTTGACAGCTCACATAGTCTCTATTTTCTCCCATTTGGGTCAGGCTATTGATCGTGGTATTAATTGTGAGTGTCAGGGAAAGCAAAAGCACAGCTGTCTGTCTTTCCTAAGCTTTGAAGGCATGGTGAAGGTGGCAGTTACTATGCAATTTTATTTTCTCAGTGCCAAGAGAAATAGGACATTTTCTTACTAAATATATCGCCTGCATAATGCAAGAAGCCTGGATGTACAGATGCAAAAGACACGTTGCTAATCCTGTTTATTGAGAGCTTTCTGTCATTTTGCCCTGACATTTGGAGAGCCATGTCCATGCATCTTCATCAGCATGTGTCCTGCAGGGCAGCCTGCGGTGAGGCAGCCTCTCCCTTGGGGCGACATCCCTGCTCCCCACTTCTAAATTCAAGCATCTCTTACCTTCTGCTCTCAATCTCCCCACCTTTCCTTTGCCTCTGCCTTACTTTCCCACTTCTCTCCTTTTTGCCTTTTTATTGGGGGGGGGTCCTTCCTATTTTTCTGTTTCTTGTGGAACCAAGGAGCAGAAGCTGGGTGGGAATGACAGCCCAGTTAGGTCCTGCTTTGTCATCTGCTGTCTGCTTGTGGGAAGGTCATTTGATCTCCTCGGGCCTCAGCTCCAAGAATCTGCAGTAGTAACACCTACCTATGAGGATGGTCTGAGCTAGTTTACACGTGTACCCATGAACTACTTAAGAGCTACACTAAAGAAATTGGTATTATTGGAGTAATTGGTTGGTGGGCTAAGAAATGTCACCTCTCCTGTTCGCTGCCTGGGGAGCACCTGGGGAGAGAGGGGCACACCCACTTGGTCTGCATCCAAGGGATGACCAGGTAAAGGCCAGCAGCATTCCAAAGTCAATGGCACGCACTTTGTCTTGTCACCCGCCTGAGGTTGTACCCACTCACTCCTGTCCTAACGCAGCACGGAGGCAGCTGCGCCGGCTCTGCTGGACTGGAGGTTCCTGTTTCACTCGTGCTTTCTTTTGCATGCCTACTCCACCAGGCCCTCATTGCGTGCCATAAGCAGCTTACAGTAAGCCAGCAATGAAAGAGCGTACTGTCCCAGCACGAAAACAACACAGACCCACCCAGCAACGGGTTGGCTGGGCATTGTTTTTCCAAAACTGGTGCTCATCTCCTTTGTTGCCCTTTTCAGAATGTCTGGCTAGAGTTCGCAGAGGGTTTTCAACTCTGTGTGGCCTTGCCCTCAGCTGCATTTCTACATCTAATCCTGCATGGCCTTGGTCACATTCTCTTTTTTAAAAAACACCAGCTTTATTGAGATATAACTCACACACTACAAGAGCACCGACTAGTGATTTTTAATATTTTCCTGGAGTTGTGCAAACTTCCCCACGATCAAGTTCAGGTGATTTTCAACACCTGAAAAAGAAATGCCTTACTCACTTGTAGGCACGGCACTTTCTCTCTCCCTCTAGCACCTGGTAACCACTAACCTAGTTTCTGTCTCTGTGGATTTGCCTATCTGGACATTTTGGATAAGTGGAATAAAATGTGACCCTCTGCAAAACACTTATTTCATTTAGCATAATGTTTCAAAGCCCGCCCATGTTGCAGCAAGTATCAGTGCTTCCTTTTTGTGACTGAATACTATTTCATTGTATAGCCTGAATACTATTTCATTGTATAGCAAGACTTCTGGTGTGGCTTTTCATCAGCTGATAAACACTTGGGCTGAGTCTACTTTTTGGCTATTATGAGTAATAGTGCTGTAAACTTTTATGGATAAGTTTTGTATGGTTTTATTTCTTTGACGCATACACCTAGAAAAGAGATTGCTGGGTCATAAGGTAAATCTCCATTTAACTTCTTGGGAAACTGCCAAATTGCTTATCAAAGTGGCTGCACCGCTTTATATTCCCACTAGATATTATATGCAATGGCTCCCCACAGCCTCACATTCCATTCTACTTTATGACTTACCTCTGCATGGATCCACTCCTTCCCTTGGATTTAAGGTCCATGAGAGCATAAATTCCCCTAAGGTCATCATAATAGCAACAACAGAGCCTCAAACCCTGCATATGCTAAACAAACACCAACTGTTACTTGGGTGTACAGTAGTTTTAATTATAATCAGTTATACTTCCTACCTGGAAAGTAAGCCTACTTCAGGAGAAAATAAAGATCTTATTTCACATTCTTCAAAGAACCTAGTACATAAAGCTACCATGTATTGAACATCTGCTGGATTCTTACCACATACAATCTTATTTTTAAAAAGGGAACATGAGATTTGGATGATTATTCCTAGAATCAACAGCAAAACTGAAATTCAGGATTAAGATTTTACTGTATCACACTGTCTTTTGTGGTGAAGGACTTGCATTTAGTAGGAAGAAAGAGATGGGCTTATTTGAAATCCTCTACTTTTCCTCTATAATAAACTTCCAAAGGCAAAGATCACTGTCTTTTTTTTCCATTTTCTATTGTACATGGTTCATAGTGGGTAGTAAAAATAAAGTATTTCAAATTATATCAATTTTGGACACTAATACAATGATTAAAAAGCTGAAGTAGAAAAGTAAGGTATTGTTATTGTGGTCTACTTCAGTCTTCATTTACAACTATATCTGATAATATAGGTTAAGCCTCTAACCACTTGCCAGTGGCCGCGGCTGGAGACGTAGCCACAACTAGATCTCCCTCATGTCTCCTCAACTGTCATCCCAAGAATTCAAGACCACGCCTGATGTCTTTCCGTAGCTACCGCCAGCTGTCAAAAAAGCAGATGTGGTTAAAAAAGGCCTTTGCCCCTAACCAACATGGCTGCCCTTAGACTTCAGACTTAGGGCGGAACATGACGATCACGTGAAGAGAATACCGTTGCTTGACTGGTGTTTTTTCCTAGAAAGGCGGGATACATTCGCCCAGCGTGGGCGGGTCTTAAAGGAACCACTTCGGAACCCGCCGGCCCTCTGCTCTCGGAGCTGGGCCAGCCAGGCGCCTCCGCCCCTCCCGCGCAGAATGAAGGCGGGCGGGGCCGGCGTTCAGAAGCCGCCTCGGAGGGATCGGGGTTGACTCCCGGCAGCAGCGCGATCCAGAGGGGGTTAACCGGGAGTCGGCGGCCGCGGCGCGGAGCAGAGAGCGCGAGGCTCTGGCGTGCGAACCCCGCGCAGCCGGCGGGGGCGCACAGGGGC